GCCTCGACTGCTTTAATATTTTATGGTGTAGAAATGTGACTGTTACCAGGTCATGAAAATCTACTGCCTTTCATACTAGGTCAAAAATCTGGGGCCACGAGTTCTGTTTTTGTGGCACGACACAGCGGGCTAGACAGGAGAGAGAGAGAATGGAGGTATCTCTTTTGAAATCTGAAGAGAGCTATTTGTGGATGACTGATCGGATTAATGTTTATTGGGTGTTTTTTTTTTATTGTGGGTGTTTTTTTTTTTTTTCCTCTCCTTCTGCCTCTCAACATAGAAGGCTGCAGCGTGTGCAAGCAGCTGGGGCAGCATTCATTATTTACCACTGGAAAGCCAAGACTCCTAGCCTCTGACCTTCTGTTATTGCGTAGGCATATTCTGGGAAGGCTCAAGAGGCAGGCAAGTGCTTCCTGGAGCCAATAACGGGCACCTTCTGCTACACACGCTCAAAATGCTGGGGGTGAAAGCAAAGTGCAACACCACCCTGGCACCTCGAGTCCCAGGAGCAGGATTTCTGCCGTGTCACCTGTCATCCTACAGAGCCGTCTCTTCCTCAGCAGCCTTTGTCCTCACTGGATTCTCTTGACTGTTCTTCGGATCTCATAAGCTCCATTATAAAAACACTTGCACATATAGAAAAGCAAAAGCATGAAGGCCAGCGTGAAGCCTGGCAACCTCTGAGTGCCTGCCCAAGCTATGTACCAGTTCACTGAAGCGTCAGCCTGCTTAATTTCTGTGTGTTGTTTGGGGTGGGGGGTGGGAGGGGCGGTAGTTTCCGGTTGGTGGTTGTTGCTGTTTTAATGTTCCCTAAGCTCTGGTTGTAGGAACTATGGTAGTTCTCATTTTAAAAGTGAGGAAAGTGAAGCTAAACAATTTACTCCAAACACAGCTGGCCGAGACCAGAGGCAAAGTTCGAACCTCAGGTTTTTCTACCTCCTCTGGGGGGGGAACCCTCTGATCACCTCCCCCACCTCTCACAAAGCTTGAGTGTGAGGTGTGGGCTGCCCTGGTTCCCACCCAAAGAAAATGACCCTTTCCAAGACTGGGTACCAACAACACTCACAGCAAGTGTACACAGGCGCATGTTCAGAGACAGCACTACTCTGCAACCGAAGAGATTAATTGATACTAGATTACTAAGGCATTCCAATGGAATTACGCTTGATCTGGACCCCAGCATAACAAAGGAACTCAACATGATTAATGTCTTGAGTAGCGAGGAACGTCACAGTGATTTACCTCTGAGTACTAAAAGGGGCTGCCAGATGCCTTCAGAACACTGCACCTGACCCCGGGCCGGCTATCTACAGAGCAATCAGCTGAGGCCTTTCATTTGAGAGGGCCATGTTTGGCCAGAGCAACTTAAGTTTCATCTCCCCTTTTCCCTCTTTCCCTCTCCTTCACCCTCATTGGAGAGCTTCCCACCCCACTCTCCATGTCCATCCAGAGCCAATAAAGTCTTTGGGGGCTGGAAGTGGATAGAGCCTGCGATCCCAACAAGCCCAGGGAAGCAACTTGGAGCCCTTAACAGGGACCAGTCACTGGCAGTGGGCGACTCCCACAAAATCGGTCCACACTAGAGTACCAGCCAGCTCACCCTCTAGGTCTAAAGGCATGTCTTCATTTTTTATTTCTCCTTTTCTGAACAAACAACAACAAAAAAAGAACAACACCTTTCTCCTGGTGAGTGACTTGGAGCTGTAGGTGTTTGAAGCATGTGCATGAGGAGAAAGACAGATTGATGCCCTGCGAACAGCCTGCTTGCTCTGGTCTGAGGAGAGGTCAGGAGGGCGACAGTAACAGTAAAGCATAAGGCGACAGAATTGGCGCCAATGTGCATTTAAGCACAGACAGGGGTCCAGAATTCCTGGACGTCGTAAAGGATCTATTATCATTGTGGTCACTCTCAGCAAGACTGATTTCATTACCATCTGTCTTCAGCCACCGCTGCTTGAATAAATATTAAGTACAGAACCTTTCCTGGGCTCAAGGCACTGAGGCTGAGAGGGAGGCAGTTATGTAACCCTGTGATGTCCCACACACCACCCAGGCAAGAGGAGAGCAGATGAGAGGAGGGGTTTGGGGGGAGGCACTGGGGAGGGAGACACAGTGGAGTGAGCTGACATCGTTAGCTCCACCAACTCGAAAATAAAGAGTTCAGTTCTCGGTTGAGTAATAATTCTCTTTTCAAGGTGGGTAATATTTAAGCAATCATCTCTTGAAAATTGGTCATTACCACCAGCTAATAACAGACGTGTTAGTTAATAGACCAAGGTGAAGCCAAGGGCAGTCAGCTCTTGAGCCAGCACACTAATCTTCAGTGGAAGGATTCAGATTCCAAGAGTGATTACTATGATGAGCCCTGATCACTGATTTATAACAATACCAATACCTGTTAGTCCTTTAAATGCCTGCAATGTCCAGGAACACTTCATCGCTGTGCAGGGCTCTGAAATCCAACAACTATCTATGATGCTGTGTCCAAGAGAAGCACCCTCTGTCCTGTTCTAAGAAATGCCAATCTCGGGCTAGGCTGGCCCTGGATGCCCTGGACTAGGTGGGCTTAGGAATCCATGGAAATGATATTCAAAGGGACATAAGTATATCTGGATTGTATTTTTATAGCATTCATTTGATTTTTAATCGTGTGTGTGTGTGTGTGTGTGTGTGTGTGTGTGTGTGTGTCTGGTGTCTGTTGGGGAATGTGCACATTGAGTGTAGTGACAAAAGAGGCCAGAAGAGGGTGTCAGGTCCTTTGAAGCTAGAGTTAAAGATTGTTGTGGGCCACCTGATATAAATGCTGGAAACCAAACTCCAATTCTCCAAAGGACCACAAACACTCTTAACTACTAAGCCATCTCTGCAGGCCCTGATGGTGTGGATTTTTTTAGATCTCCAAAATGGAAGACTGAGAAGACCATCAGGGAAAAAAAAAAAATCCTGGTCTCCTACTTCAGCATTCCTTTCCATTTTTATTCTTGAAATTTTAATAGCGCCTAATGTTTGGGTGTGTTTTGATTTTGTTTTGTTGTTCATTTTTTAACCTTGTGACTGTCCACTGAAGGGTAGTGAGGATTCTAACACTCAGTCTGCATTAATGCACTTGTCCCTTATGACCACAAGAGAGGTAGGTGGTATATGTCATAGTTTCCCATGTTCGTGAGATAACTAATACTGACAGGAGTTTGTTTTTCTGATCAACAGCCCTCAGGAAATATTAGTCCAGAACTCAACTCCAGATCTCCTGACCCCTGATCCCTTCCCTCCCTCTGCTCCACCACACTGCTCTTCTGACAGAGGCGGCCTACACATCCGTCCTGTTGAGAAAAGCCATTTCTTTCAAGAGAGCGAAATGAACCAATGAGGATACTTAAATTATAACATCCTAGTTCCTTCCACAAAGGAAACATGAACAGAGGACGAGCTGTAGTGTCTGGACGGTAGGACAGCCCACTCGCTTGCATATGGCTATAAAGACAGATCACTTGATACTGACCCACAGGCAATGAACAAAAAGTAAGCTCAATGTCATATTTCGGAGCCCCAGAGCATCACGCATGCTCTCCAGTCTCCTCAGCCATGGTGTGTTTACTTTTCGTTAACACATATCTAGCCCAGACACAGTGTAGTGTCTGCTGATTGCTGGCATTTATTATCTATCACAAATTCATATCTTGGCAAGCTGATGATTGACGCATAGGTAAGAGCCTATGTCTCTCTTCAGATGCACCACACGGTGGACAGCATTTTAAGATGAGTAGTGGCTAGAACCTGACAAATATTTCTGATGGCACCAGAAATTCCACTGAAAGGTTGACATGATATGTTATAACTCATCATATTATGGGATGAGCTCATCCCATATATAATATAATGTGACTATGTTTTAATCAAAGCTTTTTAATTAAAAGTATTTTAAAAAGTTTCCCTATATTTGTGTAAATAGTGTCCCTTTTTTGGCTCTTTTTTTTCTGTTTGTTTTGTCCTCTTCTGACTTGTTTTGTTGTTGTTGTTGTTTATCTTATTTTATAATTTATTTTATTTATTATTACTTTTCAGATGCCTGTTGAAAATGTAAGTTTGAACAGGAGGAGAGATGGGATGGATCTGGGAGACGTTGGAAGAGGAAAAAAAAAAAACACAATCAGCATATGTTTTTCGAAAAAGATGTGTTTTCAAACTCCGGAGTGATAATCATTACACCATGGAGCAAAAAAAAAAAAAAAAAAAAAAAAAATCTATTTTCAATAAAAGAAGAAAAATGTCACACCCAAAAATCTAGTCCTAAAAATCTTAAATCCTCTGAATAAGAGGAGTGATCATTGGTTAAATCTTTTGTACTTATATAAAGCACATATACATAAATTTTAATGATGGTATACATTAGACATTTCCATATAGTCATTTTCATGAAAATTGACCTCTAACTCTGCGTTACTATTTCAAGAAAAATAGAACCATTCTCAGAACTCAGTTATCCAATGTGCTATATATTGCTCTTCCTCCATCTTGTGGGATAAACAGAAATAGGTAGGAGAAATCATATTTGGCAATGGTTTTACTGAAAGCTGTGAGTCCTTTCGGTATTGCCTTTCACCATACAAACTCCCATTGATTTACACCTCAAGGCTGTGAATCAATAGAGAAGAACAGAGAAAGTATTCGACCACATAAAAAGTTTGATGGTCAGAAACAGACAGAAAAAAAAAAAAAAGCCTATTCATTGCCATTTATCACTTTAGGTACAGAGGATAAAAACAGTAGTTCCTCTGTTCTTTATTTTCAGCAGAAATACTTGGCCATTATCTCCCTTGGTCTCAGAGCCAAGGCCATGTCCCTGGACATAAAAACCCACTTACCTGGACAAAGCATACTTGGTAATCAGAAGCAAGCTCCTGTGTGGATGAATGACAATCGTGTATGCATTTGCCAAGGCCTTCAGTGTGCTTGTGACTGCCTAATATACACATGACTAGCAAACAGAATAATCCACCCACCTGTCCATGACGGCTGTTCTTCACCTCATTAGTCTCTCACTTGTTATTATTTATGAGTTTACTCGTATTTATGACCATGATCTAGAAAGACACGTAGAAAGAAACATTAGCATCCTGAGAAGGCCAGAACAAAGCCCAAAGCTAGAGGATAAGGGCTCTACAGAAAGGGTACACAGTACCCAAGACTTTTCTATGAGCTGAAAAGTAAATAAATAAACTGTAAGTAAAAAAAAAGTAAATAAAAGTAAATAAATAAAATAAAAGTAAATAAATAAATAAATAAATAAAAAGTAAATAAATAAACTAAACATGCCACCATAGATAACTAGCCATACAAGATGGGCAATGCACTTGGAAAGACTACAGAAGAGAATGCATGCCTTGAACTGTATTTGAAATGCTCAATCCAAATACAGTGTCCTATTTGGTGGAAGGGGGATTTTCTGCGTTTAGACTCTACACTTACTTTGCACAAGCCCATATTAACAACTCTAAGTGAGTGGCTGAAACTCTAACAACTTTGATTGCCTCAGTATTCAAATAATGAAGAAACTATGAATTATCTATTGTAGTCAACCTATCGAGTTTATTTGAAATATGATAGGCCATTGCTTCAAAATAAGAACTCTAATAGTCTAATAGCAAAAGGCAGGAACACAAGTGTCTCTCTTTACAATACCGTTGCTTGTGCCAGGACAATTAAAAAATTAGCTAAGAAGAGAGGGGAGTTAATAGAATTACAAATGTAGGGGGGGGTGGGGATTTAAGCAGATAACTATTGAAATCCAGGGTTTTCTTTGGGATTACTTTGAAAATGTATACTCTAGTAGTTTAGAAAATCTAGAATTGGAAAATTTCTAATATTATATATTCTGCCCAAATTGAACAAAAAGAACCTGAAATTCCTAAACAAGACAGTAAAGTAGGGATATCAGTGCAGTCAGTCGCCCAGCAGACAAAAACCCAGGACAGAGCAGATACATTGCTGAATTTTACTGAAGTAAAATAAAACCAATACCAGTGTTCTTCAAACTATTCCATAAAATAGGGAAGGAATGCTTCCGAAATCAAATGAAGAAAAATATTAGCTTGATATCCAAGCCAGGCAAGGCAAAGAGAAGAGGAGATAGAGGAGATAGAGGAAAAGGAAGAAGAGAGAGGAGAGAGGAGGAAGGAAGAAAAGTGGAGGGGAAGAGGGAGGAAAGAAAGAAAGAAAGAAAGAAAGGAAGGAAGGAAGGAAGGAAGGAAGGAAGGAAGGAAGGAAGGAAGGAAGGAGAGAGAGAGAGAAAGAAAGAAAGAAAGAAAGAAAGAAAGAAAGAAAGAAAGAAAGAAAAGAGGAAGACAGGGAGAAAGGCAAAACTGTACACAATAGCTGATGAACAGAGATATAAGATCTTCAACAAAACACACATATTGGATCAATATGTCAAAATGCCAGGCATTGTGTCTCTCATGTGTAGTCCCAGCTCCTGGGAGAGAAAGAAGAATTGTCCATTTGACTTGAGGCCAGCCTGTGCTACAGAGTGAGGCATTATCTAAAATAATAAAAAACATAAAAATGAAAAAACGTAAAAATCATGAACCATGATCAAAATGGTTTCATTCCAGGCATGCAGGAATGGCTCAAAGTATATAAATCAATAAATGTCGTGTAGAAAAGCCACATAAGTACTCAATAGATACTCCGAGAAAACTTTTGACAAAGTTCAGCTTCCCTACACAATAAGACCCTGAAGATATTAAGAATAGAGGATCATGTCCTAGTTTAATTTCCTGTTGCTGACCAAACTAGCTGAAGAAGAAAAGGGTTTATCTGCCATAGACTTCCATGTCATAGTCCATCACTAAGGGAAGTCAGAATTTAGGCACAGGAACTGAAGCAGAGGCCATGGAAGTAAGCCCTGCTTTCTGATTGCCTTCTTGCTCAAGGTCAGCTATCTTGCTTATAAAACTTTGGCCCATCATCACCTCAGGGCGATCCCACCCACAGTAAGCCAGCCCTGCCTACAGTGATTAATTAGCAATTAAGAAAGTGCCCCGAAGCTGGACATGGTATCACACCCCTGTACTCCCAGCACTCAGGAGGCAGAGGCAGGCAGATCTCTTTGAGTTCAAGGCCAGCCTATTCTACAAAACCAGTCCAGGGCAGGAAACCTTGTCTCAACAAAAACAAAAGAGAGAGAGAGAGAGAGAGAGAGAGAGAGAGAGAGAGAGAAAAGAAAGAAAGAAAGAAAGAAAGAAAGAAAGAAAGAAAGAAAGAAAGAAAGAAAGAAAGAAAGAAAGAAAGAAAATGCACCCATAGACATGCCTATAGGCCAATCTAGTAGAGGCAATTTCTCAGTTGAGGTTCCCTCTTCCCAGGTGTCAAGTTAACAATTGACACTAATTATGACATGCAATTTCAAAATAATAAAGGCTCTCACAGCACATATAGCCAAATCATATTGAATGAGGAAAACCTAGGAGGCATCTATCTAAAACCAGGAATGAAATATGTCCAACTAAAGACAATCAACCAGGGGTCAAAACCATTATCCCAGATTAAAAATAATAATAATAATAAACAGGCATATTTTCTGTAACACAGTCCTTTGGTCCCTTTGAAAATTCTGACTTACTGTCCTCTTCCTTCCCTCTCCCACCACTACCAGCACTGTCTTGTGGTAACACAATTTCATAATGTCAAAGTTGGGAATTAGCTAAAGACACTTGGGTATCTTTCTGGTTCTAAGACATCATCCTTTTAAAAATGAATCAATAATTTCAAAACAGCCTTCCAAAAAGTAGCAATGAAACCTCACATCAAGTACGTACATTGTATCCTAATTGAGTGTTTCCTAAGTGGTAAAATGTGGTTGGGAGGATATATCTCAGAATGAAAGAAATGTCCTAATTCATATGAAGAGGCTAACTCAATTAGAGCACGATTTCTCCATATTTGAAAAGAAACAGAATGCTTTTGTGAATCCGAGGGGTGATAGATCTTTCATGATGGAAATACGGGCCTGATACAACAAAAGAGCTGTGTGAGTTGCTTGTTAGAGCGGCAGCTTCCCAGAACCTATCATAAGCTCACAGGCCATGCCCTAGCCGTTCTTTTTTCCTGGCTGGACCCTCATTTTGCAAGGGTAACAAGGCAAGGATGCGCTCCGTGAGGCCTGGGGGGGGCAGGAGTGATGGTGGCCGCTTCACAGCTCTAGCCAGCAGCTGCAGACATTTCAACAAAGGGTTGGAAGAGGGACCACCCAAGCGCTGAAGAACTGTGGAGCACAGTTTCTTTGAAAATGAATTGTCTACAAGAAAAAGCTTCTTAGAAAAGAGGGAGGCTCCAGTCCCTCCAATGAACAAATTCCCTTGTAACATACTCTTCACCTTGCTGGAAGGTAACTAAACAAGAGCAAAGGCCACTGCAACAATTGGTGATCTACTCCCACCCTCAACCCCTTCCCAAGACAGGGTTTCTCTGTATAGCCTTGGCTGTCCTGGACTCCTTGTAGCTCATCTGCCTGTCTCTGCCTCCCACAGAGCTGGGCTGCATGCGCCACCATGCCCAGCAACAATTGATGTCTTCCTTTATTCGACCATGAGTGAAATATCACTAGATTTGAGTCTGCTTACTATTAAGATATCTACATACATAACTACTCACGACAACGCCACAATTTCCAATTATCTGTGACATGAGTACTCACTCACGCCCCAAGCAACACAAAGTTCCAACAAAATGGGGCCATGAGAAACTTTTTATTTTATTTCTTCACAATTTGTTCATTACATATCCCCACTGAAGCTCCCTCCCTCAACTCCCCCAGTCCCACCCTCCCTCTTCCCCTCATCCCCCTCCCCTAGTCCACTCATAGGGGGAGTCCTCCACTATTGCCATCTGCCCATAGATTGTTAATTCTCATCAGGACTGCGTGGATCCTCTTCCTCTGTGGCCTGGCAAGGCTGTATCGTCAGGAGTGAGTGATGAGAGAGCAGGCAACTGAGTTCATGATAGAGGCAGCCCCTGCTCCCTTCACTCAGAGATCCACATGGAGACTGAGCTGCCACTTGGGCCACATCTGATCTCTCCAGGCCCATGAGAGGCTTTTTCAGTGAGCTCAGTGAGAGCAAAAGCCACCACCCTTCTCTGTTCAGCCTCACTGTCCACGGTTTCAGTTAACCAGTCAACCACAATATGAAACTCTTCAGCAAAAAATTCTAGAAAAAGCAGTTCATAAGTTTAACCTGTATGCCATTTAGAGTAACAGGAAGACATCTTGGGCCATGCTGTTCTGTTCTCCATGGGACATGAATCACCCTTTTGCCCAAGGTATCCTTGTGTATGCTATCCACTGATTACTATGCTTAGTACTACACAGAGAGAGAGAGAGAGAGAGAGAGAGAATAGGATATGTCCATAAACTTTTATTATAGAATATTATAATTGTTATAGTTTATTGTTCTTATTCCTTTACTATGCTTAACCATAATTTTATTTTATTTTATTGTTCTTATTCCTTTATTATACCTAACTACAGTTTCATTTTATTATAAATATATAATCTAAAGGGGAAAAGTAGATGCAGGGTTCGGTATGTCCAGTGTTTCAGACAGTTGGGCTCTTGGATGTGTGTCCTATAGATAAGGGGCCAAGCGAAGGGGATTCAGTAGAAGACAGTACAAAGCAGTTGTGCACAGAGCTCTTTCCGGAGGAAATGTTAACTGTATTAAACATTTAAGAACTAACGGCTCTACCACAATGTTCTATATTCCCAGCCCCTAAAATTATAACTCAAAGAGCTAAAAAATTTACATCAGTCTCAGTGAACTCTCACATACAACAGGAAAAGTTCATAGAGTTTAGTTCATAAGTTACTTAATCTAAAATAATTTTATTTTTAAAAATACATTTATATTTTACATCTTTAGTTTTTTTGGGGGGAGGTAAGGTGGTAGTGTACATATACCATAACATGTGTGGTCACAAGAGAATTTTCAAGAGTCAGTTCTACACATGGGTCCTAGGGACCAAACTCAGGCGACCCATCT